CAACACCAACACCAACACCAACACCAACACCAACACCAACACCAACACCAACACCAACAACACCACCAACAACAACAACAACAACAACAACAACAACAACAACAACAACAACAACAGCAACAACATTATGCGCCTTAGGTTTTTGGGGTTCGGGATGTAGGTGTGAAAACTTCATAGACTTCATACTTTAGTTTTGTTTTCGTCTTGTTGCTGTTGACTGTTTTAAGTTGACGTGCCTATAACCAAACCGCAAACAATGTAAACACACCAACCCAGCAACACACACACACACACAAAACACATAGAAATCATGTGTCTGCACCGTGGTTTGGATCCCTGTTGATTGCTGGCTTCAGCATGCCTTACTTCGCATAGTAGAAAACTGCGCTTGCTTGCGTGCATGATGGGCTTGTGGACGCATAATATCTGATCTTGCGTGCTGTTTTCTGGTTGATCTAAGTGCTCAATTTTCTCCTGCTTGCCCTCTTGCGGCGGTACTACTTACAAGACTTACTAGCAGCTGCTGGTGGGTGCAAGATACCTCCAACCGTCCAATCGTCCTGCCCTCCAACCTCAAATCTGCATTCTTCCACCCTCCAACCCTCGCCACGACGGGCCTAGAGCACCCCTAGACAAGTTTTGTCATACGCAAATAGGGATAGGGCAGGATTGGAGGGTTGGAGAGGGGTGGGTTGGACGGGACTCAAGCCGCCGACGATGATGGCAACGGAAAAAGTGCTGTGACGATGACGCAAAACGACGGCCACATAAAGGGATGATCAGAAGACTTCCCCGCGAAAACCAGCATAAAGTGTTGCATATGTTGCGGAGACACGTGTCGTGTGTGTGTGTGTGTGGTGCAGAGGCATAGGTTAGTCTCAGCCGCCTTAGCTGAGGCTGCTGCTAGGTTTGCAGCCGTCCAGTAAGCCCGCTGCGACCCACGTGCATCGACATGTATACATACAGACACACATCTGCGTATATAGACACATGTACGCGTGTGTTCACCTGTCACTTTGCAGTAACTATAAGCGGAATTCAACACATGCACATATATTCAGACAGCCAAGACACATCGCTGAAACAAAGTACTGGTACCACCAGCTTGCTTCGAAGACACTGCTCGAACTTCTAAACTGAACCTGACAGACCCTACGCTTTCAAGCTGAGACCCACAACCCTTTGGCCTGAAACCGAACTTGAGACGTGCAAGGGCGCCCTGGCAAAGATCATGGCTCCTGCAAGTTTGAGGCTTCAGCCCGTCGTCTCTTCGGTTTGATCCAGGGGGCTACATAAGTGGAGGTCTCACGGTTGTAAGGGCTGAGGACTGACCAATGTTCCGGAGTATTCCGAGACAGACGGTAGGCACACACCTGGATGTGGCTACCAAGGCGGCTTTCAGGAAACCCTCGATGCTTGCCTGCCGTGTAAATGTGTAAATATGAGAACGACTCATCAGCTGAAGCGTGTGACCGCTTCGAAATTAACACTTTGGCTGAAGAGGTGTTCCTTTGGTCCCTCTGTGTTTATGCATATATACCTCTACAAACACGAGATATCGTTAAACTAATAACTAATCATGTCAACTGATTTTCGTGGCCTAAGACAGGAGAAAGCTTTGTATGCCCGGCGGCGTTTTGTTTCGAACTCCGCACCGAAACCCCGAACAGTCGAGACCGAAATGAAACCAAGGTCGCCGCTGTGTTGCGCTCACTCAAACCAGCTTAATGTTGTGACTGTGTCGAGCACTGTGTGGTTACCCCACAGCGTCGTTTCTTCCTTGCACACGACGACATGCTGATTCACAACTTCAGGGTCCTGGTTCTGCCCCACAAAGGAACTGCAGACTCTGACGCTCCAAGCGGTGGCAGCATGGAGAAGATGGCTGCGAGTTGCAGACATGTCGGCATGCCGGAAGCGCTTTTGAATCAGGGTCTCGCTTGCGATATGTCGTTTAGGCTTGGAGGAGGGGAAATGTACACTCTGTGAGACCATACATGCCCGCCCGAGACTTTCTAGACCCCTCAAAACAGCTCAGGATTTAGGCTATAGACTCTGTCTGCGACGTCTCTAAGCTTGAGCCATTGCCGGGGACCTTTGATGGCAGCAGAACCAAAGAAAGAAAGACGGGAAAGCGAGTGACGGAGGAGAGTATTAACGTGGATCGGACATATCGACACAATCGGCGCATAATGAATTTGCACGCATGTCGGACTTGGGCCTTTGCCGATTACGGGCAAGTGGAATGACACTTGAAACACCCCTGCAGCCCTAAACCTTTCCTGGCCTTTGTCCTTTCACCTGAACATCCTCGCCTTCTTGGCGACGCTCTTCGCCTCCTGGACCGACTTCTCGGCCATGGCCTTGCTGATTCTGCTTACGATTGGGTTTGTAAGAGTTTAGACTTCTTGCAAAGGAGTGTGCAGCAGGGATGCTTCAAGCACTTTCGCAGAGACACAGAAAATGGAGAAGCAACGAAGTGTGGAAGACCTACCGTCATCTGAGCAGCATCGGAAACACTGCTTTCGAGAGTTTCGACTCGCACACTCGCTCAAGGCAGGCACGGCTTCCCGAGTTTAGGCTTAGAGATTGAGTTGTTTGCCTCCGCGCAGGCATGTCACAGGCGATTCCCAATGGTGTCGACATCGGCACTGACTTTGGAAACCCTCTGCTTTCTTGCTCAAAACTTAATGGTCTACCTCTGGAGAGCCAACACACAAGCCCACCGACACGCCGTGTACAGCCACCACAGTTCCATGGAGCCTACCTGTATCACGCACTGCCATGGGCACGAACATGGTTTGTGTTGGAAATGCTCAACGAGAATCCTGTTCAAGCCCGTGCAAAAAAACCTGTCGAAGGCACCAGCGACACCGAAACCTAGAAGACCCAACACCTCAGTCGCAAAAAATTTAGGCTAAGGGCTAAGGCCAATCACACCGATTCTTAGAGGCTCTGTGTTTCACTTGTCCTACGCTGTAACTGAGGATTACAGGAAAGCCTCCGGCCAGATTCCGGAGGCAATGGCGACAACGGCATCACGCAACAGGACTGTCTTCTACAACAGTCAGAGCAATAGTGACGGCAAGGCAGATCACATTGCGTACTACGAACAGGTGCTCTGCTGGTAGCAATGATCAGGAAACCAACGGCCCGATAGTAGTCCCCTGAAACACACATTGAAACCCAAACTAGCTTTCCCTTTCAGCTGTCTTTCGAGGAGGGTAGAACCTGGGGATCGGGCCAGGTTCCCAGACTGGAAATGGAGCGCCCCTTCCTGGCATCTGCAACGCTTTTGTTTGAGCTTTTTTGCCCCGTGGTGTATGCGGGTTAGGCCTTGACAACTTGAAGCTTGAAAATCGTTGTTGTCGGCAGTGCTGCAGGGGGACTGCAGGGGGTCTGCGATTGAAATCCGCTCAACACCCGAAAATAACAATTCACGGTCTGTGACACGGACCGGGAGAAAATCGCAGTGTAATATCCTGAAACATATGCAATACGGCACAAGACGTGTGGAGCGTTGCTTCCACCGCACTGCTTTTCCAAGCGTTAAGTAAGCAAAACAAGTACTGTCAAATCCACTTGCTGTCTTACTCTGTAGTCCCAAGTCAGTCTTGCAAATGATGGTGCTGTCAGGATGAACTGCACCCACGTCTTCCGCGAGTCAGGCCGGGAAGTGCTCCGCTTTTTTGGTCGTCAGGCTCGACTCTGACTGCTGGATCAGAGCTCGGTGCTCTTGGGTTGCGTCTTCCTTGGCATAAACAACGGCGTAGAGCATCAATCAGAAGAGGCACACTTTCAAGGCAAGGTTTACTGTGTTCATTTGCACACCGACTATAAGGAGCTATGACGTCAAGCAGCTTCGTCGGCAGCTTAAACAAGCTAGACGGAGGCGACGATTGACCTCCAACCACGATTGAAAGCTGAAGCTCATGCTGGGGCTGAATACTGGAGATGGAGACCGGAAATGATGCGGATTCAAAGTGTAACCCATACTATAGAGTAATATAGTTAAATAGAGTAAGGTGAACACCAGCAGGGCAGTGCAAACGTCTTTAGCATCCTGCACTTCGAGCGATCGAAGCTCTTTAGCGGGGCTAACAGTGCCAGGGGCATCAGTTCCACCACCGGATTTATGTTTCTGGGACCTTGTGCTTGCCGATGCTAACGGAACGGCCAATCTCCCGGAGCAAATGCCAAAGCCTGAAGCTGCTACCTGCCCTGGCTGCTCGCCTTGGTCATCTTTGCCGCGGCACTTGGCTCGACCAGATTCTTGCACCTCGGCACGAGCAGAAAGGCGACGTGGACATGCAGATCTCAGTATTTCCCCTGAGGGTCCAAGGTTCGGGTTTCAGACCCAGGTGAGGGAGTTTCAGGGTTTAAATTCCTCTGTGGTTTAAGGCTTTCGCCCTCGAACTGGTGCGAGAAGACAATGTGCTACCAATCTTGCAGGGCGTAGTTGCCTCGCTGATCGAAAAGACGACAAGCCCCTGAATCCTTCAACTCGGCAGAGGAGCTCCGCAGAAATGCGAGCCACCCACCGAGATGTGAACGAAGTGGTCGTCCCTGATCAATTTCGAGCTTGGGCTGCGGTTTCTAGCAGTACGGCCCTGGGATGGCTAAGAGGCCTCATGCCAGTAAACCGAAAAAGAGCGGAACTGAATTTCCACCACTCCAGAACGTGTGTCCCAAGTCCACGATCCGAGATCGGCTTGCGGTCTGCAGATGCAGCATGCATGGCTTCTCAAGTTGATCAAGGCGGTGCAGCAACGGCCCTAAATCATCAACCGAAGACACCTCAAAACGTGTTCCGTCTTATCTTGTTGGGAGCGGTCAAAGAGCCCTATCTCCGCTCTAGGAGGCAACGCCTCTGTTCAGCTTGAGGCCAGCAAACGGCGCGACCTCTGCAAAGCTGGGGATGGAAACATGCTGCTCGCACACGGTTTTCTGCGCTACTCCTGACCCAAATAAAGCTTCGGTGATGCAACGCATGATTGAGGGCAAAAGGTCATGGCCAGCATCGGAGATAGCGTAAAAGCGGCAAGGCCTTGATCGAGTGCTAGTTGCACAATAACATACATTAACCTACGCTTGGCCGGCCTACCCTTGGCGGTGCTTGCGGGGCACACTGTGCTTTGCAGAAAATTGCTGCGGCTCACATCGGAAACCCAACCAGGCAGGTCAGTTCCGAAGCTGAAACGATCAGTCAAGGGGGCTCCCGCACAGAAAGCCCGAAAAAGAGGACGGTGGACCAGCTGAGGATGGAACATTAATTGACTTTTGATGGGACAGGGTCGCAGAAAAAGGAACAGGCCTTGCAAACCTGAAATAAGAAACCTAGGCTGAAACTGGCGATGCCTGCCATGTCGAGAGCACAAGAGAAGGGCCCACGGGACGAGACCTGCTTGAATCGTCCTGCAATTGTGGGTCCTACCGGCCTTCAGACTAATTTCGGGGTTCGGCTTTCGGAGTTCGACTTACCGACACCGAAGGTAAAAGACCCGTAGCGTATAGCCTGTCCCGATATCTGAGCAGGGTATAGTCTCCTTCGATGACGACGGCTTTTGCATGGCCACCTGGCATCCTACAACCGACACCTGTAGTGACTTCCCCGAACCCATTCATTCCAGAGCTCCGTTCCGAAGCATGCAACTGCAATTCTGAGATCGGTCACCCGTTGGTTGGAGCCTGAAACCTATTCGGCACTGTTCTGCTAAACCGCCGTTGGGCGGTACAGTAGCGCCCGTGTGCCGTCTTTTGCACAGTGAGCCTGGATGGTAAGGTACCCTTGCACGAAAGCTAATGACCGCACAACGACAGTCAAGCTTGCGTCAGTTCCAGCAGCCCTGGCTCGCAAAGACCAAAAGAGGAGCCCGCCTGAAATCCTGTTTTAATCCGAAGAAGCACGATGGCTGGCACGAGTTCAATCCCTATCCGAACCTGTGCCCCATAACGTTTGACCAGACTCCTGAAGCCTGAAGCCTATACCGGTCCTGGAGGGGGCTTGTTGTCCCCACGCCTGGCTGCAGAGCACAAACGCAGAAAGCCAGGCCAAACCCGTGCACATATAGTAACATATACACACGAAGCGACTTTGGCCAACGATGAAATCTGACAAACAAACACATCAACATACAACACACAAAGAATTCCTCTCGAGAAGGCACTGGCCTCGACGACCGGGCAGGAGCCCAAGTCGCATGTCAAAACCCCACTGAGCTTTCCAACATGTCCCCCCGTCTCAGTGCAGCTGAGGCGAGTTCGTGCTGACCCTTGTTCCTGTCGCGGCCAGCACGCGTCGGTTTGCTTAGATTCGCGAAGTTCTTGGCAGACCAGTATATGGTTGGGCGCGACCAACGTGATGCCTTACGTGCAAACGAAGTGTCGTCGGTCGAGCTTGCTCCATCGTCGCCGCTTTCCCCATCCGTTCCCAATGTCCTGCTAGGAGCGAATTCTTCTGCCGCAGCAACAGCAGCTGCATGCAGCAGCAGCAGCAGCAGCAGCAGCAGCAGCAGCAGCAGCAGCAAAACCTGCAGCAATCCTCTTTTACCAACACTAGCAGTCCGAGTTTAAATGATGCTGCGCAGCATCACCGCCATTTTTCAGGTTAGCGCCACCTCTGAGTTTCTGTTGCCACCCAGGACCACGATCCCATCGGTTTTTTTCTAGACTTGCAATTAAATGGATTATTATGGGCTGTCTTGTTGATGATGCAGGCTCGTGGATTCCGGGGCTCGGATACTTTGTGGGCTGAGTTGGCAACTGAAGCTGCAAACACGGTGGTGTTGTTGCCTGGGTAGCGCGGAGCTGTACGCAGAAGCATCGCCGGCGGCAGTAGCAGTGCAGTAGTGCTACGAGCAGTACTGGCGGTAGTAGTCGTCGTCGTTGTCGAACTCGTGTGGTTAAAATGGTGGTGGCAAAAGCAGTAGTAGCAGTAGTGGCAGTACTAGCAGCAGTAGTTTTAGGAGACGGCGCCTCTACGGGGCCGTG